CATACTACCACCTCCTGCTGCTCCCCACCATCTCAGAGATGTCTTCCTCCACCAAACTGAGATACAAACCTAATTATACTTACCAACACCTCATCCTTGCCTTTTACCCACATACCTTTCCAGAGAAGAGCTCCCAAGCTGCCTCTCCTGCCTCACAGAATCACCCATGTAAGGATGTGGGGTAGTGAACCGCCCCCTCACAGGTGGGCTCCTCGCTAATGGTGGCTCCGCTCTGCCAGCTGCAGAGTCACTCTGATTGCTCCCAGCCCGGGCCTCGTGTGCTCCCGGCAGTGTTGGTGGGCTCTCAGGGCTGAAGGAAGCGTTTGGAGGAGTTCACAGCTTCAGGGCTGTTTACCTTGGTTCCAGGAGTAGGAAACTGGGTGTTCCCATTTGCCTGGTAGGCCGGAGGTGCCAAGGCGCTGGCGTCCCACGTGCTCCGGGATAGCCGAGTCCAGCTCCAGCGCCCAGCGCAGAGCTGAGCGTGGGGCTGGGCAGGCACCAGTGCTGCTGTGCAGAGCTGAGGTGCTAAGCTGGCATTTGGTGAGGGGCACTAGACATGAGAGCTCCCCTTTTCCATCTTTCACTGGATGGTGAAAGGATGGCTTTCACACACCGTGAGGAAAATAATTTTTTACTACAGGCATGTGAAGGATATAAATATATTTGATCCAGCCTAACTAACCAAAATGTCTCCCATCACTTTTTCTAGACCCTAAGTTTCAATTAAAACAGACAAAAAAATTTTTATTATTATGACCATAAGGAATATTTGTAACACAGGTATGAGCATGTCACAAACAGAAATAATAAGTCATAGTGTCACCCAAAAGTATAAAGCCCTAATGAGGGGAGAAGGGTTATTCTTAGTGCCTCTACAACTGAGACAGAGTGTGCTGAAGACAGGAATACTGTAAATTATATATGATGGCAGGAGGCTCTCTTTCTATAGAGGGCAATCACATCACTCAAAATACAAATGCATAAGCCTGTACTCATCCAACTTCCATTTTGCATATTTAAATGTAACTGGGCTGGCAACCTTTTTGGGACTTTTCAAGCCAAGGATCAATTTTTTTTTTTTTTTTTTAATCTCTTAAAAACAATTAAACAAAAAATGCATTCATTGAGACTGAAGGATGTAGTCTGAAAACTCCTTTCCCTCTAATCTACACAGAAATTTCTCTTGCTTCCTTTCTGCAAGGCTATATTTTTCTGCCCTATCACATAAGAATATGAAAATAGATGTTTTCCATTGCAGCCACTTATTTTGGGATCCTGGACTCCACCAATTGCTGTGCATAGATGAAAAAATAACCCAAAATCCATTCAGACCCAGCCAGAATGAATGGTTTCCCAGAAGGCCATTTATTAACATTAAGATTTTCCATCTATGAGATTTTACACCTTCCTAGATCTTATGAAAAGGACGTGTACCTCTGAATGCATATTTCAGAGTTACAGATGTGAGGCTGCTGGTGGAGGAGTAAGGACTGCCTTACACTTGATAGTTACTTTTAGTAAGGCAAATTATCTTTGTTCTCTACTGTCCCTTTCACAAATATTAGGAACTACACCCTGGATATCAGACTCAAGACCCTACCATACATTTTCAAAAGCTTGAATATCTTTAAGCCCAGGAGCTTTCTTAAGGACAATGTACAAGTCAAACAAAAATTACAGCATCAGATGTCACAACTCCATGTTTAAAGGCACATTCTCAGCAGAATTGGAAATAAAAGAGAAATTGATGAAGCATTCCTGTTTGCACAAATGCAGGGAGCCTGAAGCAAAGCGCTAGCTAGCCAAACACACATATTGCGGTTTGAACCTCAAGAACTCTGCAAATACATGAAAATCCCCAGGTTCAGCCACGTTGCTGCCTTCTGTCACACTCAAGTAAAACCACAGATGCTCAGGATACCCTGAGTATCCCTCCTTGTCCCTTCTCTTCAATCTGTCTGCTCAGAGAAGTCACATTGCCTCCCTCCCACAACTAAGTGCCCAATGGCAGAGGGAACAGCCACTCATCTGAAAAGTCAGCCAAACTCATGCAGCAGCTTGTAGCAGATCAACTGCCCTTGCTGATGCTCACTGTTTGCAGAACTTTCTCACAGCCTCCTGAATACTTTGCTTGTCCACTCTTTATCACCTGAATCTTCATTAGCAATCCCAGCTGAGACTCCAGGGAGCATGAACTGCCATTTCCTATTCAGCTCAGTCTTGCAGGGTGGGGCACTTACCTCCAAGAAACACTCAGCATCTCCTGCATGACCTGTTTACAGTTCCTGTGAACAAGAGCTATAGAAGAACCTTGCAGGATTAGGTCCTACTTGGTAACCTTTGCAAGAGGTTACCAGTGTTTTGCCACAGCATTGCAAAAGTAAGAAACCTTCTGAAGTTTCCAAACCCAGCATCCCAGCTCTTTACATGAGTTCTAAATCCATCCAGAAATAAACTTACCTATGCACAGTTAATAAACCAAATAGAACAAACAGAAAGAATGACACACTGCTATAAATTGAAATTGAATCACAAAGGTATACTACAGTTTGTCCCCTAAGTATCAGTAGCCCCTAGGGATCTAGAATGTCTGTCCCATAACTAGGCTTCAATATATATTAATACACAAATTAGTCTCTTCTGAGTGATTTGAAGAGAGTGGAAGAATAGCAGCATGACACAGCCTTCCTGTACAACGTTAGTAGCATCACCTAGCTTGTCTCATCAGAGCTATAATAGCTACCAGGAATGCTGGATAGGACATATATTAAAAGACTCCCTTAGAAGGTGGATGGCAAAGAGGCAGCATCTACAAAAAACTTGCAGAACTTCTACAACATTGTGTAACTAAAAAATAAGTACTTATGACTTTACCGTGGGTGTGGCAGTACATATCTGATCCTGACACCTCTAGATGGCAGGAAGCTTCTTTCCAAGATACTAACAGCTATTTAATGGGCTATTGGTATTTTAAGGACTGTTCATCACATAATACGGCTTTCAGGGTATGATGCAGTGACATTTGGCTGAAAGAAAGTACCTGTGTTGGAATCACAGTAGCTAGAACCAGTGATACCTTTCCTATTTGGCAATACTGGCATGGCTGAAGAAAGCCCTAATCTTTACATACTTTTCTGACTGTGTTTGCTTTAGCTCCTAAATGACATTAATATAATCTGTTTCCAATGGGCAGGAAGAGATCCCTCTGACACTGTGATTAGTTTGTGAGTGGCAATGATGATTTCCAAATGCCACGTCAAATGAATAACTGGAGCTGCCCCTGAAGATCACAGAATGCATCCCTGCCGGAGCATCTCTTCCAAGCATCTCTTCTCGACCTGACATCGAGACAACGGCTGTGCCCAGCCCCAGCTCTCTGCTTTACAAACACGGCACATTACACCTCGCAGCTCCGAATGACTGATCAAAGCATCTGTTGCAAACCCAGGGCAGGTTTTCCTTCCTTCCTTTTGTCTTGCCCACAGAACGAGTATCACCACCTCCTGCATCCAGCCCTGAAAGGATAATGTGCTACAGCAAACTGCTTCTCCAAGATGCCGCAGGTAAACTAGACACACCTGTCTCCAGCTGTTATAATGAACCCAGCATTAGAAACACGGCATTAGCAACCAATACAGAGCTATGTCGCGTCCCAGGACAGAGTATTATTTTTTAAAAAAATTATCCCTACTGCCCAGCCCAGACATCGCAGACCACGCTGGTAACACCAGCACAGGTCTCCTGCTCCTAGGCTTCATTCTCCCCGAACAGTCCCTGCTCCCCAGGACTGGCTCCGGCCAGCGGGGCAGCAGCCGCTGCAGCCGCGGTGGGGGACGCTCCGCGGGCAGCGGTACTGGCTGTCCGCATCGCTGCGAAGTTTCCCCGCGACAGGAGCTGGTCTCGGTCCCCACCCCGCACGGGTCTGACACTCACCTCTCCTGGCCTGCCTGATCTTGGGGCTCAGCATGCTCCCGGCTGGGCGCTGCCCGCAGCCTCAGCGCCCGGCCCCGGCCGCCGCCCCGCGCATCGCCGCCGCTCGCTGCTCCAGCCCTGGCTCGGGGGCGACGCTTCACGCGGGGCTCAATAAACCCTAATGCATTATTTATCCGGCCTCGAATTAATTCCCATCCAAAGTAGGCATGAAGTGTCTCGGTAATTACTGCCGATGGATCAGCAGCGCGCAGACACGAGGGCTGGCCCCGGCTCCTGCCGCTAATTGGCCGCGCGGCGGTGTGATCGATGTGCCGCTTCCAGGGAGCCGCGCTCAGCCCCGGCCCGAGCTGCGGCTTCCTCCGGTGGCGTGCGCTCAACAGATGCTTTGGCTCGGCAAGGATCACATCGGCAGCCGAGCCTGATTCAGCGGGATTTCTTCTGCGCGGGGAAGAAATACCAAGTGCGCTGGACCCGAGGGCGGCAGCGTGCTAGGCCACCTGCTGTGCCCTGCATCCCTCCCGGGGAGGCATCCCGGTGGGAGCTGGGGAGCCGAGGGAGAGCGACCCCACTGCTCTCTGCGAGAGAGAAAAATATCTCTCGCCCGCACTGGCAGGATGGGCACAAGGGAATGTCTTCATTACATTTTACATTACATTACATTTTGTACCCATCATTTTTAATTGTACTGTTTGCTAAGCTCACCCCCACCCCTCCCTGAGAGGGAGGCAGTTCTGCAGTCGGTAATGAAGAGGAGGAAAGGACAAACGTTTATTGACATAGATTGAAACTATTAAACAGTATCTATAAAATAAAAATAGATAATTGGATGATAGCTGCATCTGAGTAACAGACATATCCTGACCCTGGACTGCTCCTAGCTCCATCCACCTAGCAGTTTCTTCTGAGAGTGCCTAAATGGGGTAAATACTTCCCTAGCAGTGTAGATGCCCTGCAGTATCACCCTGCAGGTTTGTGTTGCTGAGTTGTACTGACAAAAGACATCTGAGATTGGTAGTTTTCTTCTCTTCCAAGATCTGTCATATCCTGGACACTGAATGCTGGCTATCAAGCTATAGCTCCAGTACTGGAAGAGGTTCTCTGGCTCTTTACAGAGGTTGTGCTTCTCAACATGCAACTGCAGCAATGGCTAAGATGGTTTGGACCTTTAGCTACTGGTAAAACCAGCAACTTATAAGTAAGTGATTGTAAATCTTTGAGGTCACAGTGGCATGAACTCAAACTTACACACCTGTAAACAAGGATAGAAGAGGGATCTGAACTACTGTCTCAGTTCTGAACACACAGCCTCCTGCAGTTATCTCCCCACTAATTATCTGTTTTAACTAGGTTTCAGCAGAGTGAGAAATAGGTAACTGATGATCCCTTAGCAAGTGTCAGCAAACTTAGCAAGTGTCCTGATACTGTGGATAAGCAGGTGGGGCATCACCAGAGGGGTATTGCATTCCCGCCTTTCTGAGCAACCATTTAATAGAACTCTATTTCTCTCTATTTTTAGCAATTCCTGTCTCTTTTGGTGCTGTTTATACATATAATTTTTCAGTTTGAGCAGGAACTCAAAAGATGTGTACAGTAAACATGACAAGGGATAAAGTTGACTGAACTTTTAACCTCATGGGAAGCATAGAGCACTTCATCCTGCTAAGTCACTTCCCATGAAAACTTGATTTCCACCCTAGGAAAAAAATTATATAATATGAGCTATATAAGCAATTATCATGTTTATGAGTAAAATGAAAACATTCAAACCAAGTTCAACACTAAATGGTGAAATCTAAGTTTTTCCTGTTAAATAAAAAATATTCAGTGGACAGAGAAACATTCAATTTGACCCTGTTTTGCTTTGACTTAAACATTTTCAGCCCTTATTAAAGCCATTTTAAAGTATAAACATAATTTAAATGATATTTAAAGACAAGGAAAGTGGAGGGGGGGTGGGGTTGGAGCTTTTTCCTTCAATTTAAATATTGGTGTAAAGTTCAGGTCTAAAATTATCAGACACTATTTGGGGGAAGTAAACTGTTTGCCAAGAAAAGGAAAACAAACCTAATTAAAACAAACAAGTCATCTGAGAGAAAAACAAAACAAAACACAACAAAGTAATCACCTTCAGCAAGTGGTTCCACACAATCTGCAATGCTTTGGTCTGAAAATTTAAAGAAGTGGTTCCTTACAGAAACACTAAGAGTAGATCCAGTAGAAGGGTAGCACAAGTTTCCAGAAGGAACTGGATACTACAGGAATGTTTAATTTCTAAAGCTTCTATACTGATCTGCTTAAACTCAGGAAGAAAACTAGAACAAGTCATCTCAATGGTTTATATTTACCTTAATTCTCTTGCGTGAGCCTAACAGCTCCTTTCCATCCCAGCAGCAGAGATGTTCTCCCATGTAAACACACTCTGCAAAGATGGGAGAAACCTGTGTTGTGGTCCTGAAGTGTATTATTAACCTTAATGGCTCTAGCTCATCTCACATGGTCACTATCCACACCCTCTGCCCACAGGTCCAGGACCGCTATTTAAGCCCAGCCTTGTGCTTTGTATCTAGCTTAAACTGTCTAGCAGGAACATTAGCCTTCAGTCTGTCTGTAGTGAGGTATGAATTTGGGTTATGCTCTGTAGTCTGTTTTTTTTTCAGGTAGAACTTACATCTCTCTCAATACTGTGGATCTGCCTAACTGGAAGATTCTGTCTGGTACTGGTAATCTTTATTCTATGTAATTCTCACTCATAGAGCTGTGGGGTCTTTTCCTAGCTTGACCCTAGACCTGCTTCTTCATCATTATAAACATGTTAGATGTTCTTGTGTTCTGATTGAACCTGGCTATTTCCAATGGATGCTATGGTCTGCCCTGCTGGGCTCTCCCTCTTATCCTGAGGGAGAAAAGGGGGTTTGCTGGTTATTCTGTTCCATAGCTGGGCTCTAAGGGCTGCCCTATTTAGCAGGCTTTTCAGAGTGAGTTAAGAAACTGCTAAGCTGAAGGCAATAGGACTTTTTATGGCTGATCTGAGTTGCAAGGGGCATCCCTGAAGGCTTGGGATACCAAAGTGATAATGTGTACCAGCTGTTGCAAACCACTGCTCTCATAGTTATATCCTGCTGTTTTGTCAAACCCAGAATGAAAGTGTGTTGTAGAGCAGTAAGCATCTAGTAGGCTAGAAAACAGAAATCAATTGAATACCCACATACTGGAGAAGTGTTACTATGTGGCTCTTATGTGAATCTAAAAATAAATGTGGTCATTAATTATCTGCTGCCTTTTTGGAATGTGGAAAAACTCTTGTGCCTTATCACAAGTATTCCCCATTGATGGATAACCACACAAAATGGAGGCAGGTGATGTGACCTAGGGATTAGAAAGCTTAAGGAGAGTGAAGAGATGGGGTCTCTTGTCTTAATGACAGCTAATTTCCCATGGCTACAAGCAGGATATTCAATCCCAGGTCATATCCATATTAATGCAGTGTTTTGAGATCTGGGATTGGCAAGTGCTCTCTAACTGCAGAGGATGATAATGAGTTACTGCAGTGGGGACCCTCACAGAAGATGTGATTCATGTGTTGGCGCCAAGGCTGATGACTGGAGGCTATGAAACACGGCGGGTGCTTGAGACGGAAGAGTGTGTGGGCCAGTGAAGTTGCAGAAGCTGTTGTGAGGCAGATTGAATGGATCTCTGTTTCCCCAGGCTGCACACACAGCATGCTGTCACCTACCAATTATTACACGGTATATCCTTTTTTCCTCCTCCTCATCTTCTGCTCCTATCTGCAGGCCAAGGACTTGTTGTAACTAGCTGACTGATAACATTTTCTTTGCTCATCAGCATGATGCACCTGGATCAAAGCCCAAGATCAAATCACCCTGGACTTTGGCCCCACTGAATCTCAGATCCAGTTTATTTAGACTGTAACCAAAATTGCAATCTGTTATAATATGTTATAAAATGGAATTGATGGAAAAAGGTCTAGAGAAACAAGGAAAGACCACAGTGTGCATTTTGAGATCAACAACTGCAGCAACATTTCTTCTGCAAGGCAAGTTTGAATGGTTATGTATTCAGGAACTCTGGAATTCTGCTGAAGAAGTTTGTACATAAATTAATAACTTTTCAAGTAACTAATAACCAGAAGGAATTTCTATTTGATGTAGGCCTTGCTTACAGACTGAGTTAGCACCACTTGAAATCTCTTGATGCTGATGATGCCAGCTGGTTTTCCAGGTGAAAAAGGCTACTGGTCTTTCAGCTTTCAGTAACCAGTGATTTTACTGGCAGTCTTAGGGTTTATAGCAAGAAACACTCAAGCCATGAAGTGAGAATTTTCCTGTTTTTCTTTGGAGATGGCCTCTCTAATACCATGTAAACCGACACTGTAGAATGGAGAAAGCTGTGTAGATGTTCCAGAGCAGCTCTGGAAACAACAGGAAGGTCAAAGGCATCTTTGAGGAAAAAAGTGATTTAGGAAAAACTTTAGTTTGGGGATCATTGAATGCCAAGTGACAAAGACTGGAACAATTTCTTTGGGTTTGGCTGAAAAGTAAGAAAATGCATATGCCTAATGACATCTTGGGCTTCCCAGGGGTGATGGTTACTGGAGGAGGCAGTGAATGTGCCTAGCACACCATGGCTGCCAGGAAAGGACAGAACTCTGATCTTGCAGAGCTACATTCAGGAGTCAGGGCTAAGCAGGACACTAAGCAAAAATAATTTTTAATGTTTTTCAGAGTGAAACTAGGGAATTTCTGGGTGTCTTTATTATTCTTTTACACTCAATGTTCCTTCCTATCTAGTCATGTCCCACAAATAGGTCAGGAGTAATTAATCTTTTATTTCAGGATATAAGAGTGACTCTCCAGAGAGCAGCTGTAGCTTGAGAGAAGCCTATGATACAGCTGCCTTGGACTTCAGTGGGACAAGAAACTACCCTGTAGAGACATTCCTGGCACACTTTCATTTTTTTCTCCTCTGCAGTCATGAACATATACCAAGTGTACCTATACCCCTGTAAGATCTCACCTACTCCTCTTGGAAATACCTAAATGTAATCCAAATTTATTCCAAAGAGTGTCCTGTAAGTAATAAAAATAGATATTTTACATAAGTGGCCTGCAAAAACACCTTGAGCATTGTATGTTATTTTTCATAGTAGATTAAAAAAGCATGGCTTGTATTTATTTTTTGTTTGTTTATACTTGAAAAAATCAGAGAAATTGATGTGTCCTCTCTGATTTTGTTATAAACAGTGATTTCTGACCATGTCAAGGTGTGCTCTTCTAACAAGAAGTGAAACCTTTAACAGAAATGTTTAGCTTTTGAGAAGCTATTAGGCAGTGCAATTGAAGTGGTAAAGAAAAGGATAGACAAGTCTGAATGATCTGATAAAGATTTCCAAAAGTGTTTTGTGATATACCTTCATATATTATAGAAAAGCAACACTTAGATTATGAATGCAAGAACTTTCTTAAGAGCAGTAAGTGTCTTATAAATCCAGATATTCTACATTTCATAATCAGGAAGACAAAGTATGTTTATAGTTTTAATTTTTTTTAATATTTTCTGTTTTGTCTTTGTGGTATTATCCTTATTATACCAGTATCAGAAATTATATCACCCCTTGTCTAGGACACCCCTTTAGTACTAGAAATTCCTGCTGTTGCCATATTCCTACATATGTCTACATGCAAAGATTCCTTTGTTAATGAAGGTGAACATAAGGATACTGAGACAGGAAGGCTCACAAGTATTGCATTGCATTTGCTTTTCACAGGAAAAGGAGATATAACTATTATCCATTATATATTTATGGACAACAAGTGCTAATCTTAATTTTATGTCTAGATGACAGCTTTATCAGTGAGGCAGAGAGAAATCTTTTAACCATTGCAATTTCTACTGGGGACATGTCAGGGCAGATTAGAGACTTAGAGTTATTTGGTTCTGTTCCATACAAGATCTAGTGGATATTTTCCAATCTGAAATAGGATAACAATGACACTGCAACTTGTGTCTCACAGCCGGATAAAATAGAGTTAACACAATTAAGGTATGCAGAAATAAATTTTTCCCAAATTATATTTGGTTTGAAGTGTTTCAATGTGAATAAGGACTACTCAGACTATTGATGATGAGGGCACCTCTCCTACAAGGAAGAGTTGACGGAGACAGACTTGCTTAATCTGGCCAAAAGGCTAGTGGAGAAATCTAATATCAACCACAAGTAGTTAAAGGACATTTTCAGAGCATAAAATCCAACACCTGGTAGTACAGATGCTGAAACACAAAAAGCAATGCCCCCAAGTTTGGACCTTAGAAACTCACACTGGAGCCCAGAATATCTTTTTGACCAGGAGAGTGCTGATGCAGCACTGGGACAGATATCTGCAGAGTAGGGGAGAGGTCAGCCCTCAGAGATTTTTAAGATTATTAGATTGGTTTGGTTCTGGTGCTACTTCTGTTCCAAGCAGGAGGCTGGACTAAGGAACCTTCAGAGGTCCCTTCTGTCGACATGTTTCTGAGTCTGTCTTAAAGCCTCCTTTCTGCTGCTATGTCTTTTGATCTAACAAAATGCTACTTTTTCTCTCTAGCCCTTGCCTCACTATCATCTTCAGATCATCACAGATCTAAGAGGGCTGCTACTGATGTCAAATCAGGGAAATCATAGTTGAAGATGTTCCCTTCCTCTTTTAAATGGGTGATTCTTCTCACAGAAATTCTCTGTGAAATGTACTCTGATCTTTCTGAACTTAATTTCCTGATTCCAATGTAGAAAAGTATTTGAAGGTTAAATTTAAATAATGAGAATGCTCACAAGCTTCATATTGAAATATGTGCTTAACTGACCTGCTGGATCAGAATTTATTGGAGTAGTTCATATTGTTTGGGTTTTGCATGATGTAAGCAAAGCATCTCAAACTTCAAAATTAAGTTTCTTAATATGACCAAGTCACAGTTAACTGTGCTGTTGTGCTCACATCTCTGATTCTAATTGTGTTACCTACACAGTTATGCAGTCTGCTCCAACCATCTAACAAAATTTGCCAGATTGAGCTTCTTTGATGCTCCTGAGACAGGTAGAATATGGAAGCCTGGAAACATCACGGATATCTCACTTGTTCACGTGTTTCTGTACACCCCTAGACCTTCCCTGCACATTTGAGAACAGTGACAGTAATATATCCTTTGACGAGGAGCTGCAGGACCTCATGAATCAGCTGCATAAAACACAGGAACCTGGGCAATTGCTCATCCTTTCTGTCACCTATGGACCTAGAAGAAATGAGGTCCTTGGCTGGGAGAGGAGATAAAGAAATGCATTATTTAAAACTTGAATCCTATCTCTGCAAGATGAATGTTACTTTTTTCTTTTAGTGTCAAGAATCAAAGAGCAGTGCATGCATATTTTAGACACTTTGGACTGAAACTGGCATCCTCAGGAATGTATCTCCTCCTGCTGCCTCAGGGAAAAAATATAGTCATTTAGGCAGATTTGATTCAAAATGAAACTAGGGTGAAAACTGGAGGCTAGGTGAAAAATGGAGGGAGTTAAAAATTTCAGATGTGCTGTTATTTTAACACTGACCCATTTTTCTTTTGTTTCAAATTATGTTAAGCAGAGAAGAAAATAATGAAATTAAAATAGAGTTGTTAATGACTTCCAGACTTGGCCCAGGTACTATTTGTGGCTCTGCCACTGACTGGGTATGTAATTTCAATTCTTATTGTTATTGTTTCCAGCCTGTGAAATGGAGTCTGTAAAACTGATCTCTATGATAAGCTTTTCAAGATGTATGAAAGAATAAGAAATATTACTTATTATGTATAAGTGTTATCTGAAAATATGTTCCCATGAAAATTTTTGGATCAAAGTGTTATGGAAAAAAATGAGATATTATTTTTTAAAATATTTTCAACTTCTCTATAGGTGAATAAAATTTAGGAATCACAGTATTTTAAAGCATCATTTATTTTAGAGTAGGTATTATCCTATTAGTTTGTCTTTGCTTGGTAATCAGCATCTTGTTTACAAGGAAACCAGTTTCCTGGAAGGTAAAAAATGCTTCTTCCCTTTGCCTGCCCCGATATTCATATGTGGAGCAGACTCATTTGGACTAATCAACTGTTTAGTTTTACAAATGTCTTCTCAGATATGCTCTGCTGTGGAGGTTGTCCACTCATAGCTGCAGTATAATGAGTCTGCATAGAGATACTTCATTTGAAAAGTCAGAAAACTGTAGGACCAAAAAAATCCCGTGGTTCTAGATCCTTAACAAGATTCCTACGCTTGAGTTCCTGCAGGGAATTTCAACTTGGAAAAAATAAGGTACTTAAAAGTTCTATAATACTGGATTTTCAGAGAGAACTGAACTATTCATTAAAGTTTTATGAATGGGATTTTGTTTTGTTTAAAAGCAACCAAATAACCCTCTAAAAATCACCTACCTGAACTCCCCACTAATATAATTTGTCTCAGTATATTCTTGTTTGTTATCCTTCATCTAGCCTTACTAATATTTACTAATATTTTGTTCAAGGAAAAAATGCTTTTCCAAAACAAAGCATCAACTAATTTGGTTTTGAAAGTATCAAAACCCATTTTTAAAACTAAATATCCCTTATGCTTTTTGTTTTGTCAGTGCTGACAAAAATTAAAGGTAATTTGCTTCCCCCAGAGTTTCATTCTTCATCCATAATATTTTATCTGTTCTGCTACATACTGACACCATTATAAGCTGTGTCCCTAAAAGGAGAAGGTCAAAGTACACCACAGTTTTCTAAGTGGCTTCTCTGCTGGGTGCCCAACTAAAACTTGTCCATTCCAGAGGCTGATGAGAGTGTGAAAATGTAATCCTATAAATGCTTAAATTGCTGAAAGCATGTGAACAGGCAGGTGAGTGGTTCTATTCTGTGCTGTGGCACTCTAGTGTCTTATTTTTTTAAGATGGTCTCAGGAAAATAAATGGAAGCTGTAACTCTAATATGCAAATGAACTGTGTACTTGCAGGTATGTGAGATTTTTGGCTGCAGGATGCAAGAGCAGCCTTTGCAAGCCCTTCTGTTGTGCTGCCACCTCGTGATGCTCAGGGAGGATGGTGCCAACACAGAAAATGCTCAGAATTAACCCTGCCCATGTTACTGCTGAGAACCACAAAGCAAATAATGTTCTCTGGAACTCAGACAGAAGCTAAAAGGAGGTAAAGACAATTTCCTATTTAAGATCTATATGGACAAAACTGGCCTGTGGAAAGGGGAGAGCTCTGAATATCTCTGGCAGGAATGCCTGTATTGGGCCAAGGCTGGCTGGCTGAATTTTTCATCTTTATTCTCATCTCATTTGAGAAAAAAAAAAAGAAATAAAAATAGAAAATAAACGTTTATTGGAAATTAAAAAGGATAAGACATTAAATAGAAATAAAAATGCCACCAGAGCTTGGCCTGTCTCACTAAAGATTTAGTCATATGCTTGTCGTCTGTGCATTTCAGATGTCTTTTAAGAGGGATCCTCCCTCTGAGTTGTGGCAAACAAAGTACAAGCCATATGCCCGATTTTGACTTATTTTTTGGGTTTTGGGTTTTTTTTGTTAGTAGCTCTGTCAATGTTCTGAGCACAGGTTCTGGTACTAGTTTGCTGCTACATATTTGGATGAAGGGTTACGTTCCGAATGCATATAGGTCCCAGACTTTGACAAGGTAGGCTTCTGCTTCCTTCAAGTTAGAGGCATCTCTATTGTGTCTGATGTACTGAGATACAAAACAATATTTAAGTTTCACCTTATGACTGCTGTCTGTTTTTTAGACAGCTTAGCAACTCTTGTTACTGAATAAGCCTTTGTAGACCTCCATGTAAAGCCTGCCATTCACATTTCCCTGCTTACAGCCAGGCATTTCTTGAGGGC